TTGGCTCTGAATGTATTAAAATAGACTTTAGTGTGGCAAAGGATTTGTGTGCTTTCCATTATTATTATTATTATACAGTATTTATATAGCGCCAGAAAGGTTTGCTCAGCGCTGTACATTATAGTGGGGGACAGAACATGAGACAATACAGTAACAAAACAATACACGAGGGGTTCGAGGGCCCTGCTCTTCCGAAGCTTACAATCTAGGAGGGAGGGAGGGGATAGTGGTACAGGAGGAAGTGGCTGTGGGGGATGCAGTGGTAGGAGGAGTGGAGGAGATTGGCTGTTAGGTGAGAGTGGGGTAGGCTTCCCTGAAGAGATGGGTTTTCAGGGTGCGCCTAAAGGTGAGGAGGGTAGGTGACAGTCTGATGGATTGGGGTAGTGAGTTCCAGAGGATGGGGGAAGTCCTGGAGAAGTCCTGCAGTCGGACGTGGGAGGTGGAGACCAGGGAGCTAGAAAGTAGGAGGTCTTGTGAGGAGCGAAGAGTACAGGTTGGGTGATATTTGGGTATCAGGTCGGTGAGGTAGTTTGGGGCAGCGTCGTGAATGGCTTTGTATGTCAGTGTTAGTAGTTTGATTTTAATGCGTTGGGCAATCGGGAGCCAGTGGAGGGAATGACAGAGGGGGGTGGCTGTAGAGGAGCAGTTGGTAAGGTGGATGAGTCTGGCCGCTGAGTTCAGGATAGACTGAATTGGGGGTTAGTCTGTGATGAGGTAGGCCGGTGAAAAGGGAGTTGCAGTAGTCCAGACGTGAGATAATAAGGGAGTGAACGAGTAGTTTAGTAGTGTCTGGGGTTAGGAACGAACGTATTTTGCAGATGTTGCGGAGGTGGAGCCTGCATGAGTTTGCCAACAATTGGACATGGGGTTTGATGGACAGGTTTGAGTCTATAGTGACACCTAGGACTTTGGTTTGCGGGGTGGGACTGATGGTGGCATTGTTGGTCGTGATGGAGGGGGTGGGGGGGGGTGGGCTGGTGGGAAGATTAGGAGCTCGGTTTTGGAAAGGTTCAATTTGAGGAAATGGAGCAACATCCAGTCAGATATGTCGTTCAGCAGGTGGGTGATATGGGTGGAGACTGAAGGGGTGAGGTGAGGGGTGGAGAGGTAAATTTGCGTGTCATCGGCGTAGAGGTGATAGCTGAAGCTGTGGGAGTGTATCAGTTTGCCGAGGGAGGAGATGGAAAAGAGAAGGGGCCCGAGGACAGAGCCTTGGGGGACCCCAACAGAGAGGGGGAGGTGGTAGCGTTATAGGTAATGCTGAAGGAGCGTTGGGATAGGTAGGAGGAGAGCCAGGAGAGAGCGAAGTCTCTGATGCCGAGGGAGTGTAGTTTATTAAGGAGGAGGGGGTGGTCAACTGTGTCGAAGGCCGCGGAGAGGTCGAGTAGTAAAAGGACTGAATAGTGGCCATTAGCTTTGGCGGTTAGCAGGTCAGTAGTGATTTTGAGTAGGGCGGTTTTGGTGGAGTGTAGGGGACGGAAGCCAGACTGTAGTGGATCAAGGAGGTTGTTGTCAGTGAGGTGGGCGCTTAGGCGATTGTAGACTAAGCACTCAAGGAGCTTGGAAGTAAATGGCAGTAGGGAGATGGGTCTGGTCTAAGGTTGCTCAGGTCGGTGGGGTCCAGGGAGGGTTTTTTGAATATGGGGGTGATGTCGCGTGCTTTAGGGGGGGAGGGGAATGCGCCAGTAGAGAGGGAGAGATTGAAGATGTGGGTGAGGGAGCGTAGGATGGAGGAGGAGGGTGCCCGGAGTTGTGTGGGGACAGGGTCAAGGGGGCAAGTGGTGAGGTGGGTTTCTGAGAAGACCATGGTGACCTCCTCAGTAGTGGCAAGGCTGAAGGAGCGGAGTGTTGGGGAGGTATGTAAGTATGCACAGCATAGTAGACTTACCTATATGAGTGTGCACTCCTTCCTGTCTCTGCTGTTATCTTCTCCTCCATTTCTTCCAGCCAAGCCTTTTCTCTGTTTGTCCACTGATGATGCAATTCCTATGCACCTGCATGGAGTTGCATCATTGTAGCATCCTAGAGTATGCTGGGGGTGTACTACACTGCACATACACAAACACAAAATGCTAAAAGAAAAGTGAGAATTTTTTTTCTTTTTTTCTTTGTAGAAGAAACATGCAGTATCTTCTGCCTTCTTCTTTTTTTTTTTTTTTTTATTTTATTATTAGGGCTTAGTTCTTTAAAGCCAATGCATCAGCAGAGCCGAAGCAAGGAGAGGCGACAATGTCATTTTATGTATTTGTTTCTCAAATCTCTCATGCTAGCAGGGCTTACAAATTAACTGTTGAGTAGGAAAGCCATGACTGCAATTGAAACTTTTGAGTGTCTGGAAGGTTGGAAGGTTAAGCAGTGGCAAGAGCTATTGTTGCCATGAATCTGTTTTAAAAAGCAAACAAGGAACTTTGGTACTTTGACTGATGTTCTTGGCAGACTAGTTTAAAAAGTAAAACAATAAAATTCAAGTGCATTAGCTGTATATCACTGTATTAGTTGCCTTGGTAACCATCATCTGTAATACTGCTTACATAATGTGAAGAAAGGCTCAGGTTTTTTTGTGATTTAAAGGATAACTAAAGGAAAAGCTTTTTAGTTTTGGACAGAATAGAGAGGACCTAGAACACCTGTCATGATTTTTTTTTATTTAATTGGTGTCTGTGTCCTCATTTGGGGGACTCACCCTCTCCTTTTGTGCTGTTTACAATTACCACCAAACGTGAAAGTGAAAGAAAATCCTAAATTATGGGTTGTCCCCAAAACAGGATAGTAGTAGTTCCTGTGAAATTGGTGACACACAGAGATTCCCTCACTTTGGAGGGATTATCCTTTCACTTCCTGTTTTGGCTATGGGACAGGAAGTGAAGGGAAATCTCCCCAATGGGACACACACCATGCCACGCCAAATATAAAAAGAAAATGACAAGGATTATAACCTTCTCTTAGTCAGTCCGACTTGAGAATGAAAATTATGCCTTTAGTTCTACCTTAAGCCACCAAAAAGCAGGTAGTCTGACAGCCATTTTGTACTTATGTTTGTTTCGATTATTTACTTTGTCACTTTGAGGGTCAAATATTTTATTATGATATTTTTCCATATTCTGTAGATGAGCACCCTCTTTTGTAAGATATCAGCATTTTCCTCTTATCAGTTTAAAAAAAAAAAGTAATGCTAATGTTCCTAAAATGTCACTATTTTTTTCACTCTGAAGCAAATAAAAGAGCTTATGCATTGCAGACTCGATTGTATAATAATCATTATGATTATGGTTTATCATATTATCTCTTAAGGACACAAAGTAAAAAAAAAAAAGCTCACAATATTGTAAATGGTTATGGCTCATCAATCCTATAGGTGAGCCATCACTTTTCAAAAACAGCACATCTGTGCAGGGCTCTATCCATGTGGACGTATCATTCATTCACAGCAGTCTGCGGCCAACGGCTTGTAGTTCTCCATGAATTGCAAGGGCCCTGAGGAGTGCTCTCATAGTTGGAGACTCGCTCCAGATCTTTGTCTGCTCATATGGAAGTACAGGCAGGGATGCTGGAGGCAGTGTCTTCAAGAGCCTGACATTGTCCCCACTATCTACTGATCATGGGTGCAGTGCTCTGAAGGCTCATTAGAAAAAAAAAAAAAACGGAGCTCGGAGAAAGTCTGGATCAGCAAGACTGGCAGATCATGACCCAGGCATTGTCTAAATGTTCAAGGAATGTTATTTTAGAAAATGCCTATAAGGTCCTTTTATAGATGGTATTACAGGCCTGCCCGTCTAGCTCGTTTTATTCCTGCATACCCCCTGACTTGCTTTCGGGGTTGCCAACAAATAGGCACCATGGCCCATATTTGGTGGTCTTGCCCTAAGGTTTGCAGATTATGGATTAGGGTCTATGCCCTTCTTCGCACTGTTTCACACAAACATTAAGCGCAATCCATATGAGGAGCTATTATTTAAACCATTATTGGGTCTGCTTCGTCCTGAGCGGCAGCTGGCATCACATCTATTCATGGCTACCAAATTAACGATCACGAGGGCTTGGAAGACCCCCCCTCCTCAGCTTTAAAGCAGTCAAAAATCGGATGAATTTTATAATGGTTAATAAGAAACTGACGGCTATGCTGTTAGACACTCACACAAAGTTTCTGAAGATCTGGTGCCCCTGGCTTGATATAGCCCAACTGTCTAGGTTTGACCAGTCCCTTTTGTGGATATAAGATATATAAGTGGATTTTTTTTTTTCTTCCGTCGCGATCCCCTGGAGCCCTTTCTTTGTCTTTTGTCTTTTCTTTCTTTTATTCCTCCTTTTCTCTTCTCTGTTCTGCCACATTTCATGATATACACGGTGATTGTGACTTTTTTCTCTAAGAACACTACCAGCAATATTGTGTCTACCTGTCCGTCTTCCTTGGGAGTCCTGTACACGGAATACCAATGTACACTCAGTGAGACTGTGTTTTTTTTTTTTTTTTTACTCTTGCCCTATGTTTGTAGACTTTGTGATAATCTTGGCTCTATGTTTACTAATTCATTGGTTTCAAATTACCGTATTTTTCGCTCCATAAGACGCACTTTTTTTCCCCCAAAAAAGGGGGAAAACGTCAGTGCAGTGCGTCTTATGGAGCGAATATAAAGCGGCCGGTCTGGTTTTTTTTTTTCCGCCACCATGTCAGAATACCGGGCCGGCCGCTCAGCTGTTCTCTCCTGCAAGGCCTTACCTGTTCCTCGCTCCAGCGCTGCACAGTCTTCCCGCGCTGGCTTCTCTGACAGCTGGGTGCCCAGTGCGCATGCGCTGCGCTTTGTGAATGGTCCAGTGTTTTCTGGGACACATGACAGGTCCCAGGAGGCGCCGGGCCATTCACAAAGTGCAGAGCTTCTCGCGCATGCGCAGTGGGCACCCGGCTGTCACAGAAGCCGGTGCGGTTAGAAGAGGGAAAGACAATGCCGTGGGAGTGGGTACCTGTCAAATTCAGGTACCCGCTCCCCCTCCCTCCCCAAAGGTCAGCAGTCTCTGGTCATCCCCTGCACTGTCTGCAGTCTCTAGTCATCCCCTATACTGTCTGCAGTCTCTGGTTATTCCCTGCACTGTCTGCAGTCTCTGGTCATCTGTACTGTGTCCCTGGTATTATCTACCAGATAAACCAGAAGTTATATATAAAAAGGCCATGGCTTTGAGACATCGATTAGCACCAAATGTCATCAACCCCCCAGAGAAGATCTCTTTTGCACCAAATATTAAAGGATTCTTTCCTTGCAATAAGTGCGTCATATGCACAACTAACAATGTACGAAAACATAAACAATATTCTTTCACCTCATGTACTACAGGAAGAACATACAACATAGATAAATGTATAACATGCTATAGTAAAAACGTAGTATACCTCCTCGAATGTTCATGCAAACTCCAGTACGTGGGACGTACTACTAGACGTTTACGCGATAGATTGAGAGAACACATTAATAATATTAAAAAGGGATATAAGGATCACTCCTTGTCCTACCACTTCAAACGGTAACATAATAATGATCCATCATCCTTACAATTTGTTGGAGTAGATGTAGTACAACCCCATTGGAGGGGGGTCAATAAACTGCGGGTAGTCTCACAACTCGAAACACGCTGGATACATGAGCTCCAGACCCTGCATCCAAAAGGCCATAACATAGATATAGATTTAAATTGTTTCATTAATAACAGTTAATATCTTTGGGCCATATATATCAGTCGCAATCTTAAGAGAATAGAATGGGAAATAAGATGGCGCTATCTCTATCATCTCCCCATTCTATTCATTTTTTACTCTATTTTATGTTATCTATAATATTCTATTGCTACTCATTGACACCAGTTAAATAAAGTATATTTAGATGGAACTTTATATGCGCTGTTTATATATGTTTGTAAATATTTATAAATGTCTATAATTTCAATTGTATCTGTATCTTGATTATAACCTTGTTATGGATATTTTCGAGTGTATCTTATGTCATGATAAGCCTTACACATATTTCTCTATGGAATAGTTTATATGCTATTGCCATATATATATTTTTATATTTTATATTTTATTATATTTGGAACCAATTTGCATTATGATTAGGCTGATTGAGAAAGATTTTATTATATAATTTTAAATCCATTTCGTTTATCTTATACTACCAAAAAAAACTACACACTGAGCAGCTCCTTAGTTTTAAATATAGACAAAGGACGATGCGTGCTCTCATTATGCTAATTCGATAATGAGTGCCGGGCGGTTAGATATACTGTAGCTGTCACAGTGTGTATTCACAATAGTCCAACGGAAAATGGCGCCCGTACAAGTGTCCGGACGTCTATGCATAAAACTTCCAAAACATGGCGCCTCCTTAATGCGCATGCGCCTAGCATATAAATTGGCGTCACACGGCTCGGCGTTATTGGCAAATCCCCCCAGACGGCGTGCGTGTGCACGAAACGCGTAGGAGGAGTGGAGCATCGTGGAGCTCCGGCGGCCATCTTTAACATTGGACGGTTAGTCCATGAATTTTCTCGCATACTGCTGTTTTTTTATTATCTTCGTTTTACCTGGAATAAATTACTTAACTACTATACTATGGAGATGTCTCTGTTTTGACTCCCCTGTGGAGTATCAATTCACAGTCACTCATCTCACTGCTGGGGAAGGAACGTATACAATCATTAAGGAGCAGTCCACAGGCCACCATCCAAGGGATCACCCTGATGTCCCAACAGTAATATCCAGGAGCACTGGAGGGAGGCTATCGCATTGCAGACCTTACCTTGACCAGCTGATGAACCCAAGGGAAATTTATATTTATAAACGCCCATTAAACTGTGCGTTCTGGTGAGTGTGCATTTCTTCAGCACTATACCGCACAGCACCTTATTATCAGGAGGATATGAATAGATGAGAGCACTTGAAGTCACCTTGATATCACCACATGAACTGTTTCATTTATTTATTTATTTATTCATTTACAGTATTTCTCTTTTTAGCGCTGCATCTTCTGATTTATACTGGTATTTTCCCTGTACTATGTCCACAGTCTCTGGTCATCTCCTGTAATATGTCCGCAATCTCTGGTCATCTCCTGTACTGTGTCCGCAGTCTCTGATCATCTCCTGTACTGTGTCCGCAGTCTCTGGTCATCTCCTGTAGTATGTCCGCAGTCTCTGGTCATCTCCTGTAGTATGTCCGCAGTCTCTGGTCATCTCCTGTAGTGTGTCCGCAGTCTCTGGTCATCTCCTGTACTGTGTCCGCAGTCTCTGGTCATCCCCTGTAGTATGTCTGCAGTCTCTGGTCACCCCCTGTAGTATGTCCGCAGTCTCTGGTCATCTCCTGTAGTATGTCCGCAGTCTCTGGTCATCTCCTGTAGTGTGTCCGCAGTCTCTGGTCATCTCCTGTACTGTGTCTGCAGTCTCTGGTCATCTCCTGTACTGTGTCCGCAGTCTCTGGTCATCTCCTGTACTGTGTCCGCAGTCTCTGGTCATCTCCTGTACTGTGTCCGCAGTCTCTGGTCATCTCCTGTACTGTGTCCGCAGTCTCTAGTCATTCCCTGTACTGTTTCCGCAGTCTCTGGTCATTCCCTGTACTGTGTCCGCAGTCTCTGGTCATCTCCTGTACTGTGTCCGCAGTCTCTGGTCATCTCCTGTACTGTGTCCGCAGTCTCTGGTCATTCCCTGTACTATGTCTGCAGTCCATTGGTTCAGAATATTTTTTTTTCTTGTTTTTTCGCCTCTAAAACCTAGGTGCGTCTTATGGTCAGGTGCGTCTTATGGAGCGAAAAATACAGTACCTGCCGTTTTTTCAGATTAACATGTTTTATTTTACCTCCTCATGTACTGCGCTTGTGTACTCAGCTTGTATCCTTATTTCCACTTCAGTGCATTCATGGTACTATTCATCAAAAAACTTATATGTCTCATTTTTGTTGGTCAGTGATCTTGTTTATGAATGTTTTTCTGATGTTGTCTTTTCTAGAATAAAATCCATTGTAAAAGAAAAAAAAAACAGTAAATGCACATTTACTGTAAAAATGTTAATTTTTTATTTTATAATTAAAGGTGAACTTTTTTAAACTAATGTTTTGATACCATTTTCAAAATAATCTAATTGCTTTCCATCTTCTCAAATACTTTCTTTTCTTCAATTCTGTCAAATATCCAGTAAAAAAAAAGGTAAATATAGCCATGTGGTCAAGCATGTCTGTGTGCACATGACCTCCTTGGTCATGTCAGAATTAGATTCAGTCAGAGTTTGATTGATTCTGACATTTCCAACCACTATTTTAGCTTTGTGGCCATCATTGGGCTCTAACATTGTACACAACTGGACTGCTACTTATGATGAAATAATTAACTGTCAAGCTGCATTTGTAATGTTGCTTGTAAAAATGCCATCATTGTAATCCTTTCTTTTATGAACATCTTCCATCATAATTTCATTTGCCTTGCTGATTTAAATTCTTCATTACTGTCTGTGGACACACTCAAATCATTTCACATCATCTTCAGACCTTATTTTATGGCACTTTAATTGATAGGAATACATTATCACTTCCCAAATGCAGAATCATTATTGCACCATTTCTGAAATAAATTCCTTTACAGTTTATCCTACCTGCCCAAGAGACTTAATTGGAAAGCATAATTTAGTCCTGCTTTATCATTTTAACCACTTGAGCTCCAGAGGATTTACCCCCCTTAATGACCAGGCCTCTTTTTGCTACTCGGCGCTGCACTAATTCAACTGATAATTGCGCGGTCATGCAATTCTGCACCCAAACGAAATTTACGTCCTTTTTTTTCACACAAATAGAGCTTTCTTTCGGTGTAATTTGATCACCTGTGTGCTTTTTATTTTTCATGCTATAAACAAAAAAAGGCCAAAAATTTGGAAGAAAAACAATATTTTTTACTTTCAGCTATAAAAAATATATAGTAAACTCAAAGTTGGTTATAAATTTAGGCCAAAATGTATTCTGCTACATGTTTTTGGTAAAACAAATCCCAATAAGTGTATATTGATTGCTTTGTGTGGAAGTTATAGCGTCTACAAACTATGGTATAAGTACTGCAATTTACGCCATTTTTCTGCTATACAGCGCTGCTCTAGTTTAATGGACAATTGCGCGGTCGTGCAATGAAATTTACATCCTTTTTTTCCCCCACAAATTGAGCTTTCTTTCGGTGGTATTTGATCGCCTGTGAGGTTTTTATTTTTTGCGCTATAAAAAAAAGGCTGACAATTTTGAGGGAAAAAAAAAACAATATTTTGGACTTTTTGCTATAAAACATGTCCAGTAAAAAAAAAAATGCAAAAATCAAATTTAGTCACAAATTTCTGCCAAAAGGCATTCTGTGACATGTCTTTGCTAAAAAAAAAAAAAAAAAACAATACGTGTAAATTAATTGGTTTACGTGAAAGTTATAGCGTTTACAAATGGCGGGAAAGATACTGGGATTTTTAGGTTTTTTTTTATACTAATTATGGCGGCGATCAGCGAATAATGGCGGTGATCAGGGACTTATGGCAGCGACCAGGGACTTATGGCAGGACTGCGGCGGACATTCTGACATTGGGGGGTACTGACTTGGGGTCACTGACATCCCAAAAAACACGAATAGAGTGATCAGTGCAAAAAAAAAAACACTGACACTGTACTAATGGCAATGGGGAGGAAGGGGTTAACTTTATTTTGCAGGGAAGGGTTTATAGGAGTGAGGGGAGTGTTTTTACTAGGGGGGGGGGGGGGGTGTGTACTGGACAGGACAAGGCTGATCGAGAAAGAGAAACTGTTCTTTCTCGATCAGCTCATCCTCGAGCTACCAGGGAAGTGACAGACAGACAGCACAGCTACTGCAGCTGTGCTGTCTGTCACTGTTTGCCGCCGATCGCTGGGAAACAGCCGCTAAGGATCGGCGGGACAGATAGGGCGGCGGTGCGCCTCGCGCGCCCCCCCCCCCTATTTGTTTACAAAACACACGTTTTAAAACGTGGTTTTGCCTGCGAGTGCCGCCCTGCCGCCGTATATCTACAGTGGCTGGGCGGCAAGTGGTTAATTACTTTCATTAATAAACTGAATAATGAAGCCATTTTATTTATTCATTAGATCTATATATTCCTAAAAAGTAGCATGTTTCATATCTATTGATCTCCGCCCATGCTTTGTATACTGTATATTATAGTTTCACTATTCAGCTTGCATCTGTTGAGTCAACAGTGCTACTCTGTAGTCTCAAAATTTGGTTCTCATCTGCTTTTCTGTATGGGAGTTGCCCCATGGGCCTTTTGTAGTTATGGTAATAGTGAGTTCTCTTTCATAAGTTTATCATCTAACAGCTCTCTATTACATGAATAAGGCAAGTTATTGTGATCAGTTGGTTTACTTCAATTTAAGTCAGGGGTTTAGTGGTGCCAGACTGTGGCCAGTGGGTGTAGAAAATGCCAGTTGTCGGTGGGTGTAATCAATGTCTCAGGCTTGGTGGTCAGTGAGATTTCAAAATGTGCTAGTTTGTTGGTCTGTGTGAGTTTAAAAAAACACTGTGGCCAGTGCAGAAAGGAATAATGCCCCAACATTGGTGTCACTGGAGGGTCTAGTTCCCCATCATTGCTAGCAGAGGTTGGAATGGTGCTTCATGCTTCATTGTTGTCAACACCTTCAGCAGATTGTGGGTACAGTGCCTGGATCCTGCAGACTTTCAGTTGTCTGCCTGTACCTCCGATACAGGCAGGCAGTTACTGAATGGCAGGAAGAAGCAATGAACTATGAGTGCACTCACCAGTGCCCTTGCAGCTCTTTGAGAACTACCAGCAGTCTGCCCCAATGGAAGATGATACTTGTAGTCTATTCATTCACAGGAAACTGTGGATGAATGACGTGGATGATGGTGGGAGGTGGGTGTGTAGGAGCATGTTACACCCTAAATATTGGTGTAACATGCTCCTAAAGGTAAACTTATCCTTTAAGCAGTGTTCTTGAAGTACCATTTGACTCCCTTTGGAGAATGTAAAAAAAAAAAAGACATCATAATGGTAAAGCTGTAACACTATTTGATAAACTCTGCATAGCAGATGTTTAAATAACAACTAGCGTTCCTGTTATGGACTGTATTTAAGTCCTCATGCACACTGGATGTTTTTACAGCTGCTGTTTTTGGCTTTTGATGTTTTTTTCTACAGCTAGTAAATCCCCCAGCATGTTATCCTATGTGTCCATGCATACATAGACTGTAATCAACGTTTTTTGGCTGTAAGAATGCTCTAATGCTGAAAAACGCGGTAAAACACCACAAACCAACATTTTTAGACTTTTTTTGGGGGGGTAAAAAAAATGCTAACGCGGGGAAAACGCCACTAAACGCTAATGCAAAAAAGCTGAAAAAAAAAATCTTGTTTTTAACATGACTTTACACAGCTAACATTACCAGCGGTATCAAAATCCCAGTGTGCATGGAGACTAACGTTTCTAAATTGGGGTTGATTAGTGTGTTAAAATAACACATCCTATGCATTGATAAAAATATTTTTTCTGGAAATCTGACATATCTGACTTTCATATTCTAACCAAAACTACATTCTCCCACCGTTCTGTGCTCCTTCACTGCTGGGATTGACTGTGTTGGCAACCCAGGGAAGCAGTAATGTTACCCCACTGCCCATGTGACAGAGTTTGATATTAGCAATTGCCTGCTCGGTCTCAGCAATGTCCGTTATAACTGAAAGATCCTGGTTTTCTCGCCGGTTTCAGAGGTGCTAGAAACTGTGAGTGAGTGCAAATAATGTTGATGTGGGGGCTGGGGGCCCTTTCCAGAAACACTATCACTTGGTCCTGGTTCAGCAACATAAACATGCATACAGAAGGAGAGAGCGAAGAATTGACCTTATCAAGATTCTGCTGCTCCTTCATTGTCCAATCAGCAGGTTCCAGAGTGGGGCCCTGGACCTTTTTATGCTTACCTGCTTTGGAGGTCTCTAGGGTCATGCTGTAGTGTCTGGTTAAATCATAAGGTTGGCTAAACAACAACAACAACAAAAAAATTCTTCAAAATCAATATATAAACCGTATATTCACCGTGCAAATGAGACGAGAAAAAAAAAATCTAACACCTGAAAAAATACATAAATCACTCATGCAGCTGCCCTAATAGTGAATAATGCAATAATCGCCTCAAACCAATGATAAATAAAAGCAGCGCAAAAATGTTTTTTATTTATATATATATATATATATATATATATATATATAAAACACTAGCAGAGTGAAAAAATGATACAAAATATAGCACTGTAAATA